TACGCTGAGAATTTCTCCACATCAACTGAGCTGCAAAATGAGTGGAAATTTAAGATTTTTGTCTTTGAAACTACCTCATTTTAAAGTTTTTTTTTGTCTGCACTTAGTTAAAACTGTGTGTAATAAATAAATCCACGAAGAAGGTGTGCTTACTGTAAAGTATATTCTTGTTGAAATAAAAATGCTAAAAATCATTTAAATCAACCTAAATAACACATGCATGCACTCATATAGAGAACCTTAGATTTACATGGTCTCTTTTAAGTTTTTATAGTAAAAAGGTTTCTCATACTGTTAAGAAAATGAAAGTAAGGAATCCAATTTAAGTCAGTAAACTATGTATACAAATCTGCATTTCGTGCTTAAATGTTCATCAAATGTGTTTATATGTTTAAAAAAAGTGAAATGAGCAATAAAAATTTAATCATAAAAAACTAGCAATAAAAATTTAACCATATCAAAATGAAATGGGAAAACATACTAAATTAGTATTTGCTACCTTGTTCATGTGCACTGCCTTAGTAAATGACAGGCCCAGCAGTTACACTATAATACAGACCTCAGTTTAAACGGAGTACACCAGTTCTAGCTTTGAGCCTTTAGATGATTATTTAGCTTCTAAACAAATGCAGTGTCTTCCCAGGCATGGTCGTACACACCTGTAATCCCACCACTTGAGAGGTAGAGGAAGGTGAATCAGGAGTTCAAGGCTAACCTGAGCTACAATAGAGTTCCAGGTCAGGGAGACCATTATCTCAAAAAAAAAAAAAAAAAAAAAAAAAAGAGAGAGAGAGAGAAGAGAAGAGGAGAGAGAGAAAGAAAACAAAAAGAAACACAATATCTCAGTTATAAGCAGATTTGAAATTAATAGAGTATATGAATTCAAATGCTAGCTCCACCACTTATTAATTGTGTGATTTTAGGGGAAGCTATTTAATTATACACTTCCCTATACCGTATAGGGTTAACTTAATATCTAGAAGGCACTTCAAATACTTCCTAGTTTATTATAAGCACCTAATAAGTAGCAAATGTTTTTAATATTAAGGCTATTTCTATACTGAATAAAGAGAAACACTACTTAAAAGGCTATTACAATAAATGAGAAAATCACAAAGAACATAGAGCAAGTATATGAAACATACAAAAAGGTGTAGCTACTACTATCCCTAGGAAATATAATAGGTAGTGAGGTAATGGAAAGGAGAATGGCAACATTACCAGTCATTTGGGGCCCAATACACAGAAATGGCAGTCCAATTTAGTGCTTCCTCTTTCTCATCTTCCCAAACAATTAATTACCAAGTTCTATAAATTCAACATTTCAAAAGCCTAAAAGCTGCCTCATTTTCTCCATCCTCACTGCTACAGCATGCTCCTTTACACCAATACCCAGTCTCCTATCAGCTGCCCTAATGTCAATATTGGCCCTTTTTAACCCATTCCTCAGGCTCTATGCTGCCTTAAAAAAAAAAAAAATGTTGATCATGTCACTCTCTTTAACATTTGCAATCATCCCAACAGCCATTAGAATAATTTTGAAATTCCTCATTGAATTGACAAATACAAAATTTTAAAACAGCATTATATAAACTCAAAATACTGAGTTCAAACTCCAGTTCCACCAAAAAAAAAAAGAGCATTATACTTCAAATGAGAACCTAATATATATTCTTTTGCCTACATCACTTGTAGTTACTTAACATATTGCTTTTAACTTAAAAGATATTTTGTTTTTATGTATTTGGCTCCATTCTGTAATTTTAAAAAGCTTTTAATAAAATTTAAGAATGACTCCCTCATGTGGAAATCAGCTTAAAAAGACCCTCTCCTACAAGTCTGGCAAGTCATTTAAGTTTCAATGTGCTTAAAATTATAAAGCTGAATTCTAGACATGACAATTTCAACTTTAGACCTACAAAGATAAGTAATGGGCTATATCTAAAGTGAAAGAAAAGTTCATGACAAAATGTACAAGTAGAAAAACTAAAAAAGACAATAATAGGGTTTTTTTTTTTTTTTTATTAAGACTGAAACTTTATTGTTTTGAACTTGGAGATTTATATATATGTTTATATATATGTATATATATATACGTTTGTTTCATTCATTTATTTTTATTTTTATTTATTTAATTTTATATTATTTGTCATTTTTTAGTTTTTATTTTATTTTTTTTTTTTTTTTTTTCATTTTTCTTTTATTATTCATATGTGCATACAAGGCTTGGTTTATTTCTCCCCCCTGCCCCCACCCCCTCCCTTACCACCCACTCCACCCCCTCCCGCTCCCCCCCTCAATACCCAGCAGAAACTATTTTGCCCTTATCTCTAATTTTGTTGTAGAGAGAGTATAAGCAATAATAGGAAGGAACAAGGGGTTTTGCTGGGTTTTTTTTGGACCAGGGCCTGAACTTGTGATCCTCCTGCCTCTGCCTCCCAAGTGTTGGGACTACAACCATGAACCTGCATGCCTGACTACAATAATGAGATTTCTAAGAAAAAGTGTTTGAGATTTTTAAATTACATTTTATAAATTAAATACTTTAACAATTTTAAGGCAAGTGACCATTTTAAGATGTGTATATTTCTAAAGATTTTTAAAAATTTTAAATAAACCAGGTTGCTTATAAGAATTAAATGTTTTAAACATCAACAATTTGATAACAGAATTATACATGATTCTAATATTAAAAATTGAAGAGGTTCAACTTATTGTGAGAAATGTCTATATCAGAAAAATTAAAGTAGAATTATTAACATATTAATGAACAACATGTCATTATCAATCCTAATCATCAAAAAAGTTACTCTGTGCTGGGTGCTGTTAGGTCACGCCTGTAATCCTAGCCACTCAGGAGGCAGAGATCAGGAGGATCATGGGTCAAAGCCAGCCCAGGCAAACAGTTCAAGAGACCCTCTCTTGAACTCAAGTGGTAGAGCACCTGTCTAGCAAGCATGAAGCCCTGAGCTCAGACCCCACTACCACCAAAAAAAGTTTTCCCTTGGTTAAGGGAAAAAAAATCCGTAATCAAACTGGATAAATAAAAATGTACAAGGTCTAATTATCACCTCAGTATTTCAACCTCAGATGAGATTCACAAAGAAGGGTACATCCTCAATGTAAGCATATATAGAGGTTTTTTTTTTTTCTTTTTGGTGGCACTGGGGTTTGACCAAAGGGTCTCATGCTTGCTAGGCAGGCATTCTACCACTTCAGCCACTTCACCGGCCCTTTTTTATGTTGTGTATTTTTGAGATAGGGTCTTGTAAACCATTTGCCTCCTAAGTAGCTAGGATTATAGATGTGAGCCACTAGCACCTGGCATAAGTATTTGTTAGTGTTTGAGGGTTTTTTGGGGGTTTTTTTGGTGGAACTTGAGTCTGAAGGGATTTACATTTTACAAAGCAGGTGAGCCACACCTCCAATTGTAAGCATATTCTTATTTGTAATTATTTATTTTTGTTTTTATTATGTTTTGCTTATTTTATTTTCTGTCTAGATTTCAATAAAAGACAAAGGCAAAATAACAACAGAATATAAGTATTTTAAAAAATCTAAACAAAACTCAAGTCATAGTGGGAAGGGACTGCTAGGAGCTAAACATCATACACTTGTTTAGGGGTCTTTTCACTTTGTCATATTAAATATATCTGAGAGGGATGACAAGTCTACTTACCAGAAATAATAGTCACATAATAAGACTGTGTTTATAGTTCTTTCTCAAAAAGTAATCACTTGATTAATAAAGATTCTGCTTAATTGAGGGTAGGTCTTCAATGTAAAATAATATAATAAATTTACTTTCAAGGTGGACAATCTAACAATGATTTTTAAAATACTTTCATTCACTGCCAACCTCATATATATTTTAAAAATAATTTAAACATTTTACCATTTTAATCTAAAGTTTAACATGACTCATTATATTAAAAATCAAGTGAGTTCTTTCTTGACATAATTAATTTTGCATACACTATGAAGAACATTAGATTTGAAATTAGGAGACATGGATTTTGAAACCACCTTTGCCATTAACTCTTTAGGCTTCATTGTACTCATGAATAAAATCAGAAGGTAGACTAAAACATTTCTAATTGCAGGTAAGTAAAACCTCAGCTCCTAATTTTCTTTCCTATAACTGAACATCTTTTTGTATAAGTATGGTATACAAAAGATATACATATACAAAGTATGTGCAAGTTTCAGAAAGTAAAATTATATAGCTTAAAAAATGTTTTCAATTGCCTTTCCACGTACAAAATACGAACCCATTTTTACAAAATACTGTCCAATAACAACTTTTGTACTTTTTCACTTTACAAAATGTTAATAACAATTCTGTATTACCATCCCAACTCTACAGAACAGAAAACTGAGGCTTGATGAGTTGTTAAAATGTGACCATGTGTTCTGTTCCTTTTAAAAATAATCCATATTTTACTAAATTTACACTCTACAAAATGGTTTAACAGACATTTTTATAGCAAAATAAAACTATTATATTAAAGTCACATTATGATTTTCAACAGATAAATTTAAAACAAATGCCAAGATTTTATTTTACAACAATATGTGTACAAGAGACATAATAGAAATAATCAAGTTATAAACTTAAAAACCATGGAAAGTTTAAACACTGTAATTTCTTCTTTTCTGTAACAGAACTCTTTAACATCATACTTTTAAAACATGAACTAGTAACAGATGCACATATTATCTTACGTTTATATTTCTAATCAAGTTTTTCAAAATGCCAATGCCCAATTCATATACCCAACTGTATAGTGTTATAGAGTGCAGTAAGAACCATCTCAGCAGAACCAGCACAATACTGAAACAATCTTCTCCAATTCAAAATTTGATATTTGATAGTTTTCTGAATTTAAATTTTAATCTATTATAAAATTATAATGGTAATGTTTTTACAGCAAGTGCTAGAACAATTTAGAGTAATTGGCAAGTTATGAACAATGGCTAAGGTAAAATCAAATACTCACTTTGTTATTTTGTGTCACAAGAATACTTCCACCCCCAGGTTTCAAAGGCACCTCTTCCATTGCTCCAAACACATCAGTTTCAACAGAAAAAGTTAATTCTAGCCCCAGATCACTAATATCATTATCTAAAATCCATTGCAAATTTTTGGCATATTCTGGATCAATGGATGCCACATCTTGGTAATTTACAGGAATACCTAAAAAATAATTTAAAAAAAAAAAGTGTTATGTTCTAAATGTTCTGCCGTTCCTCATCTGTTTAATGGTAAAATACTGCCCTCTACAGGTAATCTGAAAAACTACAATATATAATTCTATTCGCAACATGTTTTAAAAGGATGCTAATTCCTAAATGTAGAAGTCTGTTAAATTAAGCTTACGTTTCTTCCATATCTTTACAATGTAATCTTTCTTTGAAATAGCTATTCAGGAAGTTGTTAATAAACTTCAGAAATGCTAATTATCTTAAGTACACTCATACTAAAATGTATTCTTTGCAAAAACACACACAATAAAATGGAAAGAATAAAAACTATTATTGACAACAGTTTTTTCTTTTTTTAAGTCATTTTTCTCTCCCTCTGGCCAAATCAATACACAAACATATGATCTACAGTCACAATAAAAACTATCTCACTCAAAATGACAATGCTTATCTAGTTAGTTTTCTTTAAAAGTTGTAAGGAAAACAATATAAATAAATGTTAACAAAAATAATAATAGAACCATACCAAGAATGTGCTTGTAGAACGATCGTGTGAAATAAATATTAACCAGCTGTCTATGGTTCAATGCTAACCCCAAGATCTGTCCAGCAAATCGGAAATAATTCAAGTGGTCAGGATTCACATAGGAGTTGCTATTAGGCTGAAAAGTTGTTCCTATTGAAATACAAGATAATTTATTCTTAAGAATCTAAACATAGAAGACAGATAACTTCAAAGCAGATAAATTAATTTACATAGAACTTCATCAAATTAAGGTTACATTACATAAGCTTCAACAGGAATGTTCTGTATGGAATATATAAACAGATAGCAGGGCTAAGTGTATAGAAAATAACCACTAATTCACATTTACTTATCAGGCCAGGTGTAGAAAGAAAATTTTAGGATACTTTTGACAGGAAGTAGTTGGAAGAATAACCAAGAGACCCTGGAAAAATACAGTAAAAAGATCACATGTATGCACACGTACATAAACATTTTTCTATGAAGTATAAAAATAATCACTTGTCTATCAACTAGTACAAATAAGGTCTCATTCATGTATACACACCCAGTGCAGTAAGTATTCACTAGTTTTTGCTTCTAAAAAATAGAACGCTACAGAATGAGTACTAGAACTAGTCACTAAACTTAATGCCTATTAACATGATCAAAGGCCAGGCAAGGCGACTTGCCAAGGCAGACTCCTAACCCAGCTGGTTAGGAGGCGGAGAATAGGAGGATAATGGTTCAAGGCCAGCCAGGGCAAAAAGTTACTGAGACTGAGATACCCCCATCTCAACAAAAAAGCTAGGCTTGGTGGAGTGTGTTTTTTACCTCAGTTATACTACAGGCACAAGTAGGACTGTGGTCTAGTTTGGCCTGGGAAAGAATGAAAGACCCTATCTGAAAAACAACTAAAGCAAAAAGGGGCACATGGCTCAGGTGGTAATGTGGGCTGGGGCATGTGGCTCAAGTTTGGTAGTACACCTGTGTAGAAAGTAAAGCCCTGAGTTCAAATTCCAATACCACAAAAACAATGACCAGAAAAATCACAAGTTTACAAGTAAACCAATTCTTCTACATGGCAAGTAAATGAGTTTAAACAACTACTACGGAGGTAAAGAAAAATGGCAAGGGTAATAGTTATTGATTACTGTTAAAATCTTTCCACTTCTATGAGCTATCTAAAATAGGTAAATTTATATAGATTCAAAGTAGATTAGTAGTTACTTGAGGCTAGGGGAAGGCTGATTAAAATGTTAATGCTTAATAAGTACGGAGTTTCTTTGTGGACTGATAAAAAGTTCTAGAATTAGGGAGTGGTGATGATGGAATAGCAAGGCAAAATGTACTTAATGCCACCAAACAACACTTTCAAATGGCTAAAACGGTGAATTTTAATGTTATATTTACCACAAAAAAAGTCTTAAAAAAAATCTAGAGCAATGGTAAAACTTAAGGCCAACACATCAATTTTAATTCTCCTTCCCTTTTTTTTTTCAGTGATGAACCCTAACTTGGATTACAAATTCACTCATTCATTCATCAAGTATACAGTGAACTCATGCTGTGCACTACTATTCTAGGCACCATGGCTAAAATAAAGAATAATTCATAAATCTTAGCTGTGTGTAGCTCATACCTATAGACCAGCCTGGGCAAAATATTCACAAGACCCCAAAAATATTCACAAGACCCCAACTCAACCAATAAAAGCTGGGCTAGAAGTGCACGCCTGTCATCCCACTTACATGAGAAGCCTAAATAGAAGGATTGCAGTCTAGTCTAGCCCGTCCACAGATGCGAGACCCTATCTCAAAAATAATCACATCAAAAAAGGGCTGGAAGTGTGGCCCAAGTGGTAGACCACCTGCCTAACAACATGAGGCCCTGAGTTCAAACTCTAATACTTCAAAGAACAAACAAACAAAACAGGAGAAATTAAAAGAAAAAAAGTGAATAGGCAAAACTCTCCAGGAAAGAAACAACAGTTTTTAACATGAAAATTAGTAAAAACAGAATATAAAGTCTATGCTAAAACTTAAGTTTAAACATAGCTATGACCTGCCCAGCTTCTTGTTTTCAATGTCTACTAAAAGCTACTTAATTATTACTCAGATAGGGGCCTGAGTCAAGTGCAGGCTCTCAGTTAAATCCCCAGTACTGTTTCTTTAACAAAAAAAAAAAAAAAAAAAAGATTTTCTTGCCAGACCTAGTGCAGGACTGTAATCCCAGCACTTGGGCAAGAGAATCACAAGTTTAAGGCCAACCTGGGATATATAGTGAAATACTGTCTCAAATATCAATCATTCAATAAGATTTATTGAGATATTTTTCAAGAAATAGTGAACAAACATTTTCAAGAAAGAAAATATCATTTTTAAGACGTAAAGAGTATCAGCATCTAATATTTATTTCATCCTTTCTATGTGTATGTACCAGGCATTGGGCTAAGCATGTTCACATAGCAGTTAACTGAATTACTGTATTCTATATGATAGCCTATCATATAGAATATATATATATATATATATATATAGAGAGAGAGAGAGAGAGAGAGAGAGAGAGAGAGAGAGATACTAAGCTTCAGAAAGATTAAGTTTCCTGGCCCAAAATCATATCAAAAAAGTGGCAGAGCCAAGATTTCTTCCTAGTTTAAGTCCAAAGGCCACTTTTAATAACTATACTGTTTCTCTACAGTAAGCATCTTAATTTGATTAGAAAACAAGTTTTTAAAAAATTACTATAGATTCGAGCTACTCAAACATTCCCCACATTCAGAAATTCTTAAATCCTAAACGTAATTCCTTCATGACTCCCAAACCTAGTAACAAGGAAATATTTCAACACCATGACCCCAAAGAGAAAACTTACATAAATTATAAAAATATTTATATTCTGTGTTTCTGCACAGACACTGCTAAAAATTTGTATTTTTAATAAGTACCTCTACTAATGATTCCCTGTCAAATCTGATTTTCACATGACAGTGATTCAGAAAAAGGGACTATAAAGAAAAGTGAATCTAAAATACGTTAAATCTATCTTTAAAGACTAAACCTAAATAATTAAACTGCTTCACTGAATTTGTCATAAAATCACAAAGATACCAACTTCACCTCAGAGCAAACAGTCAAAGGTTACAGAGTTAAGTATTCCTAAGTAATTTCAAATATTTAAGGTGTATCAGAGAAGCCCATTACACAGGTGAATGCTTGCAATTTCCTAACTTTACTGCAGCCCATCCCTGATTCTTTCCCCTAAAGTAATCTTCTTATTAAATGGATATTTGCTACTAGTTTGGTATGAAGCAATCAGAAGCTACAATTAACGAGGTATTCTCCCCTTACAAAGGAATGTGAACACTGGGAAAAGACAGATTTTCAGGAAAAACAAGCAACTGTGCAAAGCTTTTGAAAACAGAAATCCCACCTTCACTTCAAATACAAGTCTTTATTAAGTTACAGCACTCTCACATATACCTTACAAAAATGAGATGGTAACAATTTCCATGTAGTTTACAATATCAATTTTTAATTCTATAGGCTACAAGTATCATTTCCACAAAAAGAGATGTTCATCTGAGCTATATGTTTAAGTAAGTTTTTCAGTTGCTGGATCTTGATCTCTTAAAAGGACTGAAAATAAAAGTCAGTATGCATAAACAGATTATGAGTTAAGATTTAACATCACAATTTCTAGACTTTTGTTTCAATGACCAATATATTTAAGGCTCAATGGAGTTAGCAAATTTTTACTTTCCAAATAAGGATTTTTGTTTTATTTAAGTTCATCTATTCAACACTATTTTATGAAAGAAGATGTTAACTCAAAAAAGTAGAAAAATGGGCAATCCTTAAATTGAATAAATTTTAAAGGACTAAAGACATCTTCTTCGGGGCCAGTACTAGACCTTGAGACAAGCAATTGAAAACAAACTGTTTAGAAAATAGAATCTTATGTTGAATAAAGTTCCACTTATAGCTTTGTGAATGTAGACAATACTCTGAATTTCAGTTTTTTCTTCCAAGACATAGGAGAACCCCATCTAGATCACAGGGCTATTGTGGGAATCAAAGACAAAATGTACTGAAGTAGTTTGAAAATATGACAAGTCACAGAAAAAGTCTAGACCACACAACTTACCATCCGCTGACTGTGTAAACAATGCATAATCGGGATTGACTATCTCATTAGACAGAATATCAAACCACTCACGCACAACACCTTGACCCTGAGTTCAAGAAAATAAAATTTAGCATCAACAGAAATATATTGTGCTGGGAATTTTTTAATAAATAACAAACTTAGTATCATGTTAAATTTCTTCCCTCATCAAGTAAATATTACATTTTATTCAAGTGCCTTTGGATCTTTTTTGTATAGTGGTTTCTACGTAATTTATTTTCATACCCACCATGCCTTCTTCTCCATGGAACCGTACAGCAATCCCCTGCTTTAGCTTTGCACAATTTGCTTTTGATACAACTTCACAGCTACTCCTAAAAATAGAATCTAAATATATAGCATTGTTTAATTTACATATTAAAATTTACAATAATGGGGGAGGGAGATAAAGGAAAATGATGGAGGGAGTCAATTTAACTAAGATATATTGTAAGCACTTTTGTAAATGTCAATTTATACCCAGTACAACAATAAAAATAAAATAAAATTTTTAAAATTTACACTAACAAGTACTTTGTGTCTCACACATGTATCAGTTTCTTTGATAAACATACCTCTGTGAACCAGCAGAATATCATTTTCATTCACTGGCCTGTGAACCATATCTGAATCTGGTTGCCCCGAATGCAAATGTTCATAGAACCATTCACAACGATCTTTAAATGGCTATCCAAAAATTAATAGTAAAATATGTTAGCAGTAATTCGGTCACCTAATTATCAGATTTACTATCATGAGAAATGCTAGTAACAAAACATCATTATGATCTTAGACCTTTATTTACAATAAGGAGTTACCAGATAATGTTCCAACCTTTCAATAACAATTCACAAAAAAGCAGATTTTAGCTGAAATATCTTCAGTATGTATTTTTTTAATTCCTACATTTTCACAACAGGAAAAACTGATAAATTGTTATATCTAAGAACTTTATATCAGATATGTTATTGAACATATTTACTCTAAATTTATTTCAAATCAACAAAGCTTGTAAGAATAAATTTTTACAACCAGAAAAAATATTTTACATGTTCCACTTAATTTTTCAAAAACTAAAATCTTATACACCTAGTTTTTTTCTTATTTCTATCCTCTGGAATACAGGCAACACTAGAAATAAATTTGTGTCCTTCTGACTTGCCTTCCTTTACCCTAAAAATTGAAGAAAAAGATCTCTTAAAAAGTGAAGAAAGTCTATACCTTTTATTCATCTGCCAGGTAAAGTAAACTGCAAGTAATCTGTAATTTTTATGATTAATCAAAAAGTATTACTGAGTGAGTACTTAGTATGCACCAATACTGTTGATAATGTAAGAGCACTAAAAAAAAATCTCAATTTCCTTGCTGAACTCTGCTTAATATAGTTAAAAAGATGATTCTGATACAAAACAGTACAATATGTACAAAATATAAATTTCTAAACAGTGAAATACAAACTGCACTAAGAATTTTGAAACTGTGTAGATGAATGGAATGGAGTACAAAGACTTCACAGGGTCACCATTTGAACTAGGACTTAAAGCCTGGTAGGATTTACACAGGGAGGAAAAAGGTTGAGAGAGACAAAGAAAGGCACAAAAGAAATTATGTCTTCTTAGAAGATGTAATGAAGGCATCCATGATGAAGGAAATATGTTTATGTAAGTAAACTAAGAACATAATTAAGGATCCTGAGAAGCAAGTAAAAGACAAAGGTTCCATTGCAGACATTTGATCAGGGAAGTACCATGATAAATGTGGTAATCAAAATGAGTGCACCACTAGTTTAAAGGGACATCATTCCAATCGCAGTCATAACAACAGGTATTGGATAAGGTTCTGGATGTGGTAGGAAAGCAGAAATAAAGTGAGAGATGTTACTATTCTGAATATCTCTAGAGATAGAACTTACTAATTGAAATAATTCAGGGAGATAAACTTGTCTCCCTCGACCTACCACCACATTCCTAGAAGGCACTGGTTGAAAGACAAGGATTATGTACCCTGAATTTAAAGTTATTGTGGGATATAACTATTAGGGTCTTGAAAATAAACACTTAACAGTGCTATAGTTGGAATAGCTATGAATAAAGTTACAGGTTGAAACAAGGTACGGTCCCTTGTTCAAGAGATTAAAGATATAGAGAATAAACACCAAGAAAGAAATTTATGATCACAAATCAGGATGGAGAATTTGCTTATTAGCAAACAATACACATAGCCAGAAAAATCAAAGTAGAACCAAGATGAAGTAATATTTATCTCTTGAAAGCTAAAGGTTTCAAGAGATATATATGACCAATGCCAACCATCACCACAAAGAAATTAAGGACCAGTAAGTTTCTTCATTTGAACTAAATTAAATATTAGTTTTGCTTTAAGAGACTCAAATATCATTTCATTAATTCTTGGTAAAAATATTTAGGTAACTGATAAGAGATTATTTTTTAATGTCTCCTTCTTATCAGTAAGAGTATATTTTTCCTTTTTAGAAGTCAAATGTTGTAATTTTGCCCGTACCTCTAACAGCCTCTACCTTTTAAATAAAGTATTACCATTGATATATGTATGTCATATGCACTACTGTGTATGTAAATATTCAGTTGTTAGTAAATAAACTGGATATAATGTACTCAACATTTTTAATGCCAGTTATTTATAAAACTTTGGTAAAAGAAGAGAGAATAAAACATTATAAATACGTACTTAAGTATGAGTTTTGAAGTCAGATAAATATAGTTTGAAATCCTGGTTCTATCACTTATAAATTTGTAACCTTAAGAAAACTATTAATCCTTTTAGAACTATAGAACCTGTAAAATAAAAAAGTTAATACCTACTTCAAGACTAATTTGTGAGGATTAAATGAAATAATGCAAATAAAAAATACAAAAATCACAATTATAATAATAAATTATCTAACACTTATCAAGCATCTTTAAACCAAGTACCGTTTTAAGCAATTTACATGCATTACCACATGCAACCTCACAACACAATGAGAAAAAGACTCTTATCCCCATTGTACAAAAAAGTGCAACACTAAGAAGTAACTTGTAGAACTATTCAACATACACAACACTCAATAAATAGATATTGTGTGTTACCCTTCACAGTAGTGTTAAACTCTTGTCAATAACTATTTTAAATGACATTAAGTTTACTTGCCATTAAAAGATTAAACTGTTTCTTTTACCTTTAAAATGAGAACCAAGAGATAAAGACAAATGGCACTTTTTAAGTAATTCATATGGAACGTTACTAGCTACTTTCTAAAGCTAATAAAGATAGCTGTAAGATCAAAACAGGTGTGTATACACACACACACGAACACTAATAAACACATACACACATGCACACACACCCCTACATAGCTAAAGGGCATATTTTTGTATGTAAACTTTCTGAGTACCTGAATTTCCATATATAATTCACAAAACAGGACTGATTACAGAGGATCCTCTTAATATCATTTGTACAGCAATACAAAATGTCTCTCCCTTTAACTATTGGCCACCTGAAAACCACCAATAGAAGTAGTCAATTCTTTAATAGAGGTAGTTGGTCTTTAATTTTTTTTGGATAGATAGTCTCCAAGTTAGAAAAGATTTCCAAGTATGTAAGTACAAAGCACTTTTTTCCCTTGGTGTGAGAACTGTCCACTCATCCACAAATACTTTGGTATGTATTTCCTACAAAGGAATTTTATATAACCATACGACAACTACCAAAATTAGGAACAATGATGCATTACTACATTTAAGTCCTTAGACTTCATTTCAAATTTTAACAATTTCCCAGTAATATCTTTTTTTGTTGTTTTTAGTCTGTTTGGGGGGGTACTGGGGTTTGAAATCAGGGCCTCACACTTGCTAGGCAGGCACTCTACCACTTGAGCCACTCCACCAGCCCTTTTTTGTGTTGTGTATTTTGGATAGGGTCTGTCAAACTATTTGCTTGAGGCTAGCTCAAACCACAATCTTCCTGATCTCTGCCTCCTGAGTAGGATTACAGGCATGAGCCACCAGCACCTGGCTCCCAGTAATATCTTTATAGTACAACAATGATTCATAAACTACATCCATTTGTTCTATTTCTGTCTCCTTCATTCTGGGTTAGTTCTTCAATGTTTTCTTCATTTTCATGACATTGATACTTTTAAAGATTGCTAGTCAGCTAATTTTGTATCACGTCCCTCAACTGGAATTGTCTGATGTTTCCTCAGGCTTAGATTCAGGGTGCGAATCTCTGGCAGAAAAACATCACAGAAGTGAAGCCATGTTCTTCTCAGTGCATCCTACTGGTGTGTCTGCTCTGACTGCCAAGCTTCTCCACCATGAAGCTCCCTTTTACTCTTTGTAATCAGTAATATTTTGTGAGGAAACATTTTGAGACTGTTTATTTCCCACCCTTCATTCGTTTTTTCAGTACAGCCATAGGGGTTCCTATTTTATTTAGAATATGTTGCTATCATTATGCATTTTGATGTTCCCAACGTTCCAGTTTAGCCAATGGAAATCAATTCAAATTGGTTTCTGAGTCATTTTGATATAATTCCACCATTTTGAACACTTACTATCTTGCACAATAAAATGTTCCAAACTCATTATGTATGTCCTATAACCCAAGCACTATAATTTGCCATTCCTCCAATGAGCCCTGGTTCACTAAGAACACTATTTAGAGACCAAAAGTGCAATATCTACAAATGAAGAATTCAAACTATAAATTCACACTAATATCTCCAATTCAAATTCAGAGGCACATAATTTGTTCTAGTTTCCAGTTTATAATTGCTTCCTCCAACAACGAGAAATTAGACTTCCATACTTACTTATCCGACCAATCCTCACCTCCACTCACTTCCCATATATACCCCAAACTCTTCTTGCTGACACGGTGCCTTCACTACAGAATGCCTGCTGATCCATAGGAGTTCTGTCAAATATGTCTGAGCAGCTCCCACCACCGTCTACATGGACCTCCTCCTTATACCACTCTAACTAATATATTCCAGAATGAGTCCATCTTCTAAACAGACACTTCCTTACCACACCCAAACTCCAAAACCCCACACTAGGCCAGCACTATAAATGTAGACATTCTCTTTACCTTAGTCAGTCAACAAACCCCCCCTCTCTCTGGGTCAACAAGGGTGAATAGCTAACAAAAATGCTTTTTAACTGATTTGTTCAAAAGAGGGAAAGAAAAAAGGAAGGAAGTAAAAAGCAGAGATAGTATTTAAAATCTCCCTTTCAAAAACTACAAGCTTCTTTCTCTGATTATATAACTTGCCCCAGAATAGTCATATAGTGTAAATTAAGAAAATGAACTTAGGGGGACTGGGATGTAACTCAGTGGGATATAAATTGCTCAGCATGCAGAAGACATTGGGTTTGGATCCCTGTACCACCAAAAAAAAAAGAACTTAAGAGCCAGACAGACTTGTAAATCCTAGTTCTCCTGCTTAGTAGCTAAATAACTTATACAAGTCACTCAATCCTTTCAGCTTCAGAAAAAACAGATGATTCTCCTGAAATTTAAATAACTCATGTAAAGCAAATATACGGTACTGAACCTAAAATTAACATTCAATAAATTATTTTAAGTTATTGTTACTGCCTTCTCTTTTAAATTATCATTATTAAACAGGTACCAAAAGATCCCTATAAATACATGTGCATTCTCAAGTTTTTTTAACTTCTGAAAGGGTTAGTGTCCCTAAAAGCATTAAAAATCAGTTATCATATTTATTACCTTATCACTACTAACCAAATAACAGTCTCCAGTCTACCCTATACATCTGACAAATTATTTTCTAAAATGCTGCCAGAACATTTGATTCTGAAGCAAAGTTATCAGTGACTCCTAATAGCCTAGCAAACAAAGAAGATTCTTCAATCCAGCAATCAAGGATCAACATGACGTAACAATATGACCTTAATTTACCTTTCCAAAACTGTATCTCACTTCTTATCCACACAAAACTTCTGCTCAATCCCAATAGCTTTATGTACTTTTACTTCTGCATGTCCTGACCCACACCTTGACTAGAATATTCATCTTCCCCTTTATTCTTATTAAAATTTTGCATGTCTTCAGCCTTTTCCAAGTCACTTAAAATCTACCTCCTCTTTGAAATTTCCCTTCACTACAGGAGCCAAAAGCAAGCTCTTCCTTAAACTCCTACAGAACCAGATAATACTATAACTACTAATTTATAGATATATTTATTATCTCCCTTGTTAGACTGAATTAAGATTGTTCTGGAGAAAGGAAATGACTTCTATTTCCAAAATAAATACCATTTACTAGAGATATAGTCCTATAAAGTTTGTGTCACTATCTCTATTTTATAGCACAAGGATGTTAAGAAATGTGCTCAAAATCATATAGCTGGTAAGGAGCAAAACAAGCTTTCCCTAGAATGTTTCTTGAAACATTACATATACAGAATGAATAGGTACACACTTGGTAAGAAAAAATAGCAAATTAACTTTGCAAATACCTCACACTTGGGCCAAGTTAAGTGTGAAGGATTTCCAAAGTTAATTTGCTATTTTTCCTTAACCAAAGCATTTTTCAAAGCCTTTAACATGATGCTGACATGCTTTATAAATTTCCAAAGGGCAAAAATATAAATGACCATCCAGACCATCCACCTTACATTAAACTCATTTCAGGAAACGTAGCAATGTGTTTTGCTGTCTTTGCACAGGCCTTTGCACCTATTAGGCACTCAGCACACATTTCTTAAAGAAGAAAATTCACTCTTCATACTAAAATAACATATAATTCCATCCCTTTTACTTAGGTTTTAAGCAAACTTACTATACCAACCAATATTCAAATTTTAAAAATTAATTTGTTTGACTAAAAACAAGATGAAGAAAATTTCTACCTGTGCTTTTATGATATGCATGAATCTTGACATCAACTCAGGACATTCAAGGAGAAAGTGAAAGTGATCAAATATAATTTTCGGGTTTCTAAAAGAAAAATATATTTTGTTTAAATGGACAGGAACAATGAGTACCAAGAAGTGAAATGCAAATTCAGATACAGAGATACTGAAACTGAATAAAAGCATATTAAGCTCCACCTGCTACACTCTCAATTGTTATTGCACACATTTTGAATCATAACAGAAATAATTTTTTTTTTCCTGTTTGAATGAAACTATGTAAAGAGGGAAAGGCCGTCAGGGCCTTGAATCCCAGAAAGCCTTACCTGTTAACAAAGCATTTTAAAACTTCATCATGTTTGCAGACAAATTCAATGAAACGCGGTGAAGTCATTCTGTAGGAGGGTAAGAAATAATCAGAATATACAGAAAATACAATAAATATATACTGAACAGGACTGGCTTCTAGACCAAAAGGAAGAATGTGGATTTGGATCTTCTGAATAAATCTGAAAAACTTAGGCATGCCTAATCAATTTGTAAAATGAAGTAATATAAGACTTCTGATCAACAGATGATATAACCAAGTTACTTTTTAAAAATATTGAAACTCAGCATCTTTTCTATACATATCAAATACATTAATAAGAGCTTTTATGGTGATATTCACCATTTTACATAGATATAAACATATATAATTGCTCAAATTTTAAATATTTCATCTAGACCTAGATTAATATGAATACTCTAAAACAAAATCAGAATAGAACCTAAAATCAACAGTTATTTGTTGCTACTGAAATTACAAAAATATCATAGCTTTTCTTCATCCATCAGAGAAAAAAAATAAGCCAAAACCTTCTTACCCTGGAGGCATCTGACAAGAACAGCACATGTAAAAAGCTTGAATGACAGCACTTAGCCTGTTGGCTGTCATAGAAATAACATCCTGACAATCTGCACTGGCTTCCTGTTTCCCTGCAAGAGCATCTGGTTTAGATTCCTCTGGGCCAGTGGATAGATGTTCATAGCTCCCAGGTCCTGGAGGTTCAAATGGTGGAATGGAAGTGGCACCCTGATCTTGGCCTTTTTGTTTCAGTAAAATAGAAGTGATATCTGTTGAGTCCTCTTTATTTTTTATCAGTTCTGTAGCTATTAAAACTAGCCATTCATCCAATGAGTGCCAAAGCAATTCCAGAGGCTAAAAGAAAAAGAAATGTGTTTTAAACATCATTCTTAAACTAGATAATTAAAAAAAAAGTCAAACAGCTTAAAAGAAAAAATCAACTCTATGTAATTCTATCTTCTCAAGCTAATATGCCAATAATGCCCAAAGTAACAAAAATATATAAATGTTACATAAATAACAATTTCTTAATTTACAGAAAAATTTTAATTTACATGCCTGTATTCCTCAGGGTAAAATGAGAAAACCAAAAATCTAATAAAAACTCATAAACAATCTTTTTTCATTTTCAAATATTTATTTTTAAAACTACATACCACTTTTATTATAATACCCCTAACATTATATTGTCATGTCAACAATTTTCAATTAGATAAAATAAATCTTTCTTCAATTAAAAAAATTAGAATTTCTAAGAAAAAAACCTTATAAACAGTTTAGTTTACAGTGTTCCTTTCTTTACATGAATTCCTAGAATACTAACAATTTCTGGCAAGAAATTATAAAATATGGTGTACAGATACAGATATAATACATATACAATATATGCTTACACATACAATCCAGTTCTAATAATTAGCAATTTTTAAAACAAGAAACATAATAATCAAGTGTCTATCAAAATACTGCTTAACAGATTTTTTTTAAGTTACGGGAATCAATTCCCTAACCTGGTAAGCATGCAGCACCCTATCACTAGCTACACCCAGAGCTCCTGGGGAGCAGGGAGTAAAATGCTTCTAAATCCTAAACTATTATAAATTCCTATTATAAATATTCCTACTGAGAATAATAAAATGTCTTCTATGAGTTAACAGCAAACAACATTTTATTGTTTGCTTTTTTTGTTTGTTTTTCTGGAGATGAGTCTTGCTATGTGTAGTCCAATTTGGCCATCGTGTTATCACAACTGCTACAACAGGATCAATACCAGTGAAGATGAAACATGATCTACAACAAATAGTTTTTAAAGCATGCAGAAATACAAATACCCAACTACTATATAAAGAGATCTGCAAGAATATTTTTAATCCCAAATAAAGATTAACAGCTCAAAAGGGAATAGGGGTTGAACACTCCTTCATCTTACATACAATTTTAAATATTCCTATTGAGAATGAGCCAGCTGCTTTTCTGAAAATAAACATAATATTTAATCTTACTTTTTGAATCTTAAATAACACTACAAACGAAACCATGTGCTGCAGAAAGACCTACCCTTAAAACATATGAACTAAAGAAATCATCTTACTTTTAGAAATCACTATGGAAAGAGACCATACAACCATATTTGGAACCTTAGAAAATGTTTAAATAACCAGCTTGGCCAGAAAATTCTTCTCAATTACTATCTAACAATACTTTCACTGCATCTCATCTTCAGCTTTTCTTCAGATTTCTATAAATCTGAGAATATTTTAGTAAGTTTTCAAATAATTTAGTCACCTCTATTTCTTTATTTACATATTAAACCAAATGTGAAAATAAAACAAATAAACCAAACAAAAACCTAGGTCGCTAACTCAACAAATATTTAGTCAGCATTCTGTAGACAGGAAAGTAGAATGTTTCCTTTTTTCAGAGAAACTAATTTTACCACCATTGAAGTTGAAATGAGCACCCTCCTAAACCACAGAAGGTTTTCTTATAGTTAGGCACAATAGTTAGAAGATTTGAGTTCCATGCAACTTAAAGGACAAGAACCAGCTATCAATATAAACACCAACATGATACCTTCACTGAAATTGTCTTAGAATTCTAATCACAATCCAAATTTGTGCCAACTTTTCTCCTCATGAGCAAAACTTTAAACCTACTGTAGAAGATGAAAAAGAACTTTTTACATTGGCAAACTATTCAGTTTTATATAAGAAAATGAACTTCCAAATGGAAAGAACAAGTGGTCATGTAAAACTGCTTCAAACAAAAGGAAAAAGAAATAATTGGCCTCGAAATGAGAAGTGATAAAACCTAGAAAATCAACACACTGGATGGAAATGAAGCTTAAGGCAAGAAATGATACATGCTAATCATGAAGATGAACACTGAGCCTAAACCCATTATAATCCTATTTTCAATACTGACAATGTGCAAAAATTAAAGGTGAATATTGAATACTCCAAAAATAATATGAAAGAAAAAGATGCATCTGTATGAAAATGGTAGTGACAAAGACACTAAAAGGATAGGTTTCAATAAAAACAATACGGCAAAAAATTAGAAGAAAAATGAAAGGAAAAAAAGAGACATTTTGGACCTTTCTTTACTTTTCTATTTTAAATCATCTTTTCTTTCTTTAATCAAGCATGCACTCAAACCAAATCCCCATTCTTGAGATGACTTTACTTAAGAGAATTGTCTCTTTGAAGATCTAGTCAGAAATTCATCCCTTAATCACAAAAAGGAATATTATGAAAACTATGGTAGCAGACACAGACAAAAAGGATTAAAATGAAAACTGAAAACAAATTAATGGGACAAGGCAGAATGATTCATACTGACCAAGGTTCCAAGCCAGTCTGGGCAAAAAAAAGTTAGTAAAACTCCTAGCTCAACAAATAAGCAGGGTACTAGAGGTATAGTTGAAGGAGTAGAGCACAGGCTTTGTGACCATGAAGCCCTGAGTTTAAGCCCCCAGTCCCATGGGGGGTGAAATTTACAGCTATCAACAAAAAAGTGGAATGGTGGCTCACACCCAGAATTCCAGCTACTCAAGCAGGAGGTCTTAGTAGGAATATTATACCCACCACCCCCCCAAACCCCAGGGAAAAATATAAGACCCTATTCAAAAAAACAACTAAAGCAAAAAAGGGCTCTGGGTGTGGCTCAAGTGGTAGAACCCATGCCTAAAAAGCCTGAGGCCTGAGTTCAAAACCCCATACTGCCAAAAATAAAATAAATAAACCACTAGGACCTGGGAGTGTAGCTTGGTGATAGATTATTTGTGTGCTATGCAAGGCTCTGGGTTTGATCCCAAGCACCATGAAATAAAAAATAAACCATTGTATGTCATTATCTATGATGCTTTCAATATTCGTAAATAATAAAATATATTGGGCAGAATATAAAACATTGTACATACCAACTATTACTAAAAAATGAGTCAATTACAACAGAAAATATTAGCAGGTTCCTAGGCACTGTGAAAATATTAGTTCATTTCATATTATTAAATGATCACCACAGAATTATATTCCTACATCCAGTAATAGTGATATAGTAAACATACATAATTTATAAGCATATTAAGTTATACTTCAAAACTATACTATATTATCTCAAACTTACTGAACAATTTTTTTAGATGAGTTGAAAAATACTTTATTTGAATAGCATTATTACATAATTCCTAGTGTAAATGTTGACAAAAGAAAATTTCATTTATTATATTCAAATTAAATGCTGTATTTTTAATTTTTAAACAAAATTAGAGATTCTAGATTCTCAGAAATCCAAAATACGAAAAAAATCAAAATGAACAAACAAAAATGTATCATTACATCATAAACTGGTAAAAACAAAGATTGAGAGAAATTCTTTTTTTATGTATAACCTATTTATTTGATTTTTAACAATTTTATTATCATATTATCACTGTACTGGAGGTAACTTGTGACATTTATCAAAGTTCTTACACTGCATCATAGTTGAATTCACCCCCTCCATCATTCTCCTTTATTCTTTCCCACCTCGTTTCTGGAATAGTTTCAACAATGGACAATTTTTTAAACTTCAAGATGTGCAGAAGTCAGAAATTTAACAGTAAAGAATTACTAACTTAATTAATAAAATATTACTTCAAAATCCTTGATTAGTCTGACTACTCTCAACTTGATAGTCAAATGCCACAACCCCAAAGATAAGATTCTCATTTTTTCTTGCCTTTCAAATTATAATTCTATAAAACCATTGTCACAGCTTACTATTCATACACACACACACAAAAAGGAGCACATCAAGATTCAAGAAGCCTAACCTATCTTTTTCATGCTCACTCCTCCAATAATAAACACATCCTTCTCCTTCAAACACTCCAAAGTTCCAGGGCACTAGATAAAAATCTCTTAACACTGAAAGAATGGTTAAGTGTTAAGATTAACCTAAAGAACTACTAAGATAAATCAGAAAACTGGTAACAGAATGTTAAACAATTTCACCTACTAAAAACACATGGCCTCTAAACACACTCACTCTTAATGGAAAACCCATTAGTCAATCCTAACAATAAAGCAACACATAAGAGTAAATAGTTAATAAATGGGAAGTACAGATCAATTGCTACCTTAGACAAAATGTGGTAAAAGTTAAAAATGGTAATTTCCAGTTTACTATTGTAGCAATTCAGCAAACACTATTTTACAACGTGAATCACCCCACAATGAATAGACTTTAAATGCATGGATGGCAATGAACAGTTTCTACTTTTATTTTAAGTGAAAAAACAGATCATTTTGCCATCCCCCAACTATGCCACATTGAATTAATAAAACTGGATGGTAAGAGACTAATAAATTCCTTAGCAGTTAGCATTTATTAATTTTTTTTAAATAAGCTGAGTTTTAGAAGAAAACTATTTTACCAAAATGTAAGAGAAAGGAAGTGGTCAAAAGCAAGGGCAGTTGTCAACGATCCAAAAAATGTTAAAAGTGAAATAAAGATGCTAACAAAAGAAACTAGAAGAACTTTATTTGTACATACATATATATAAAACAATAGGCATTTTACATAAATATATAAAAATATAAATATCTATACATATTATATATTTATTTGTATATAGATGTTTGTACAAATAAATATTTATAAATACCTGTAAGTATTATATACCACTTATATACATCTATGGGGTGTATACACACACATACATATACAAATACAGAGAGAGAGAGAGAGAAAGAGAGAGATGACAAAACATAAAATCTGAATTCCAGAAGGAAAAAAAAGGAAAAATGTGACTGGAACATAGCTAAGTGGTACAGCATTTGCCTAGTATGTGTGAGGTCCTGAATTCAGTCCCCAACAGGAGGAAGGGTGGGGGATGATTTCCTTTGTTTTTACTGAAGCATTTAAAGCAAGCATTAAATGTCTACAGAGGCAACTTAGCATATACCATTTTGTGGTATCACTGACAAGTAGATGCAGATTTTAAAGACAACAACAACAAAAAAAAATCAGACAACTGAATATACTCTATACTTAATTTGGATGAGACCACATCCTATACTTGACTGGATTTTATACTTACGGATGAGTAAAACTGGGGGTAGAGTCACTCCTAACAGAATGAGCCCTGCCAGAACAACTTCATATGATGTGAATGATAGTAAAACTCACTACAGCATTGACAAAAGAGTACCAAAATAATATACATTGAAATTAAAAAAAAAAATTACGTTGTCAGTTCTAACTAGTGTTGGAGGGAGTGGTATGTGAAAAGCCAGTTTGAATTAAAAGAAGATGCATAATTTTTTTCATCCAGAAGGTGGCACAATAGAGGGGAAGAAAGGAGTAAGAAATACACATATACATATATACAGCTGAAAACTATCTTTCCCACACTGATTTTTCCTAAATGAAAGTGAAACAAATAGATGGACACTAACATGTACCTTTTGAAAAAACTATCATACCTATTTTGGTATTAAAGAATCTACTAGTGTCAAAATGCTTGTAACCATTTATCTGTAAGTTTCTTTCAAAATTCTACAGGTTAAAAAAGAATCATTTAGCACAGACCATTAATTGAGCTTCAAATTTTAAAGACAGTAAACGTGTCAATCTTAATTAGTTTTCAAAGGAAGTAGCATATAAAACATTTATATTACTTTTTGGATGGATAACCTATATTCATACTCAAAAGATTGTTTAAAGAAATTTAAGTCTTCATGAACCTCAACTCAAGAGCAAATTTTATGCCATGAAAATCTCTTAAATTACCTTTAAAAAAAATAACATGAGAAGCCTGGAGGTTATGTGGCTCAGTCGCAAAACATTTGACTAGCATGCGTTAAGGCCCTGGGTTTGATCCCCAGCACAATAAACAAACAAAAACACATGAAATAATTATTAAATTACATATTTTTTACAAAAAAACTGAAATGGTTATTAAACTATACATTTTTCCAAAGTCTGAGTTATTTAAAAATAACTCATAAAAATGCCACAAAAGAGCATTAGTAATTACAGCCATATTAATTCTACTTCATAAAATTATAATTAAACATGGGTAATAACACAGCCTTAGGTTTTATAAGGAACCATTCTTATAAGGACTTCATTTATATGTGCTTGTATAGTAGATACAGTTGAAGCAATACAAAATATTTTAAGAAAGTATCTCAATCCTTCCTTGAAGTCATCCTGGGAATTGTTAGTATACCCACTAAATGAAAGTAACTCTACTTCTAAAAGATATACACAGACACACACATACCATACATACACACAATAATAAAATTTAACAAAAACTGGGTATTTTCTTTCTACAAAGAAATTCCTTCAATGGTAGCTGTATATTACATTAAAAATATGTTAACTCAATAAAATTAAATTTAAATACTAAATACCTCTACTCTTAAAATAAAAACTAATGTAATCAAAACTTTATGTGTCAATGAAGAAGAATGAAATCTTACCATTTGCAAGTAAATGGATGGAACTGGAGAACATCATCCTGAGTGAGGTTAGCCAGGCCCAGAAGACCAAAAATCATCTGTTCTCCCTCATATGTGGACATTAGATCAAGGGCAAACACAACAAAGGGATTGGACTTTGAGCACGTGATAAGGCGAGTGAACACAAGGGAGGTATGAGGATAGGTAGGTTACCCAAAAAAACAAGATAGCATTTGATGTCTTCAATGCAAAGGAACTAATGCAGAAACTTTAAAGCAACAGAGGCCAATAGGAGAAAGGGACTAGGAACTAGAGAAAAGGTTAGATCGAGAACAATCAATTTAGAATGTAACACATATGTACATGGATGCAATGCTAGGAATCTCCCTGTATAGCTATCCTTACCTCAACTAGCAAAAACCCTTGGTCCTCCTTATTAATGTTTATACTCTCTCTTGAACAAAATTAGAGATAAGGGCAAAACAGTTTCTGCTTCAAAGCGAGGGGGTGGGGGAGAGAGGGAGGAGGCACTGGGAAAGTGAGGGGGCATGGGGAAGGAGGGAGTAATGACCCAAATATTGTATCCACATATGAATAAAAGAAAAAAAAAACTTTATGTGTAACAAAAATACAGAAAGCTCACCAATTAAATCTTGCTGTTGATTAGATAGAGTTGAAAGGAAAAGGATGTAACTAACTTAAAAAGCAATATAGGTATTAACCAAACTTACATCCTGTCCATGAGATTTCTGATTAATGAATGCATGCTCTGTCCTATTCATCTTTTTTATATCTATCTTCCTAACATCACATAGTTTTCTGACCTTGAATACTTGGCTTCTTGGAGTTTTATTTCCATTGTAGCCCATATCAATTCCATTACTGGGGGAGGAGGGACCAATTCGAAAGACGTGACAAAATATCCTCACAATCCTTAAAAGACTCTTCATTTGAGCATCATAACTGCTAGATAAACTGAAAATAAAAAATTAAAATGTGAACAGATTTCTTCAAATACTTATTTAAAATATTTTCATCCCACTGACCATCTGCTCTATATTTGTTTTATAGGAAGTTATCAAATATATATTACTTAGATTGCACATAAAATGGATTACAAGTTTTTAAACACTCAGAACATAATCAATGATCAATGCATACAATATGAAGAAAATTACACCCAATAAAACAGTTGGTATCTTGAGGAACCAACGTCAAGGCAATTTCTAACATTCACCTTCCAAAGTACATTTATAAATTAAAGTGATTGCTTAGAACTCTGAAAACATTTCACAGAGAAGCAATGATATAAGTGCTATGTTCTTAGGCCAATCCACAATTCAACTGTTTTAACTAAGACATTTGCACTCTCTTCCATTCTATCCCCTCCCCACCTCAGAATAGTAACCAAATGTTCACAAATTCAATATGACTCTACATAAATATAGGAAATATACCCTATCACGAAAAAGACAAATCCTACTAACACTAAATTATACTGAATATAACTCAGAAAGCCCCTCAGAATCAAATTGTTTGCATTTACAGATATCAATCATTACTCTTTCACAGAAACTAGGAGTTTGGCTAAATTTGTATGGAATCTAAAGATGTATTTATGAACTTTTTTTTCTTTGCACAGGGAATGGTTTTATTTTGAAATCTCTAAAATTAGTTACCTTCTAGTATAACTGTTGCACAAGACCAGAATAAAGAGTTACATACAGTTTTAAGCAGAATGACATGTCTTTGTACAAATTTATCAAAAGCTTACTCACGTCTATGTGTATTTTACCCTGCTCATTCTAACATTTTTAGGTATTCTTTAACATTAAAAAAAATAAGCATTAATGATGTGGAAATAATAATGCCTACTTCCAAGTATTCCAGTTTAATAATGCCAAATTAGAGATCATTTTCTATCTTGGTGACATCTGAACCAAAATTTCTTAACATTTTTACTTCCAATATTCACTTTAGGAATTACTAAATTGTCTTTTAAAAGTCAATAAAAATTAGCTGCCAGGTACCAGTGTTAGTAAAATGTAATAGCTATTACTGTTAATTTGTATTTGACTGGGACAACTTAGTAAAACCTTTTCATTTTAGAAACTTTAAATCAGGGTTGGACATGGTGGTGCACAACTGTAATCCCAGCTACTCAGGAAGCAGAGAGATGGGGAGGATGGCAGTTTAAGACCAGGCCAGGCAAAAAGTTAGCTAGATCCCACCTTAACAAACAAGATGGGCCTGGTGGAATTCACTTATAAAACCAGCTATGCTAGGGAGATATAGGTAGGAAAATTGAGGTCTGAGGGAGGTACAGAGCAAAAATGCAAGACCGTATCTAAAAAGTAACCTAAAGCAAAAAGGAGCTGGGGCATGCGTCAAGTGGCAGAACACCTGCCTAGCAAGAAGAGCAGAGCCCTGAGGTCAATCCTCAATATGACTCAAAAAAAAAAAAAAAAGAAGAAAAAAAATGAAACTTTAAATCAAATGGGCAAGGAACCATTATCTAGGGTGCATTGATTTTTACATTTGTCTTTACAAAATGTTTACAATTTTTTTATCATAAGACTGTTGACAATGACAAAATAGAAATGTAACTTAGTTGAACCTATTTCTCTGTGTTATAGCTCTTGGAAAAATTAACTCTAACACTCACATTCTGTGAGAGATGTCAATATGAATTTCCTCTGTAAAATACCACTTGTTTTAAATATCTGATCTAGGGAACACTTCATGAATTATCTGTTAAGTAAGAAGTAATTTTCTCAACAGTAGAATCTGAATATCACCATTAATTATTAATACAGTCTAGTAATTTTATGTTAGATTCCAAGTTAAATCACTTATCTACAAAAAAATTATTTTCTCAATTTCCAACCTGTGAAATCATTTCTTCCAAAGCCACCATGTCTCAGGATAAAAATATTTAGTTAGCTTCTAATTCAAAGCTCTATCAATGTACTTACCTTTGGTTTGCATAAAAATATACTCTTAGTAGTTCCTTTTCTTAGCATATAACTGTGATTTCTATTCATCTGCATATCAATAATTATCTTTACTCAATCATCAACATAAAGATGTTGACTAACATTCTCATTTCCATACAAACACAGCATTACATGCAAAAGAGCCTCAATAAATGCTTATTCTATACTACAGTTTTATTTCTGAATGCCCTCAAATATTCATAGGATAGAGGCTTGATAGCCAGTTTGTGGCACTATTAGGAAGTGATGGAACCTTTATGTGTAGGGTCTAGTGAGAGGAAGTTAGATCACTGGGGGCAAGTCCTTCTAAAGTATATTGGGAATCCTGGTCCCCTCCTCTCTTTGCTTCCTGATCACATGATATGTGCAGCTTTTCTCCACCATGTACTCCCTGCTATGTTCTGCCTACCAGAGGCCTGAAAACAGTGGAACCAACTGACCATGTACTAAAACCTCTGAAACTGTAGGCCAAAATAAATCTTTCCTCTCTGAAAGTTATTTATCTGAAGTGTGTGTCAATGCAACAGAAAGCTGACTAACACATTATATTTGGCAAACATTCCTAGAATCAGTTACATAACAGGCTACCTATTTTTCCAAAAGTATGTTGGATAACATCTAAATCATTGCTAATTAATATATACTTGAATTTTTTATTTTCTCTCCTTTTTTTGGTGTATGTGCATGGTGCTAGGGATTGAAATCAGGCTTTTTGCATGTTAGTTATACACTCTACCACTCTACCACTAAGCCTCATGCCCAGCCTGGTTATTTTCTTAAAGAAAATTTCTATTGAAAAAAATATTTCATATTGTGGGTTAAGGAATGGTGGTATAGAATGATTGCCTACCATCTACAAGGCCCTGGGCTCAATCTCCATCATGGCAAAAAAAGAAGTAATATCATTTTTTAAAAGTGAGGCATGGTTACACATGACTGTAATCTCAGCACTCTGAACGCTGAGGCAGAAAGATTGAGTTCTAGTCCATCTTAGGTTACATAGTGAAACCCTGTCTTAAAAAAACAGAAAAGAAAATAAAACAAAAGAAAAAATAATTCACAAATAAGAGATAATCTGCAAAAATACCATTACACATAAATTAGCAGAGGAAATCATTTCTATTTGTGATCCTCTTAAGAATCTACCCTGACATCAGTAGAATAAATTCTTTTTTTTTTTTATTCATATGTGCATACAAGGCTTGGGTCATTCTAATACAATACTAAAACCAATACTCACCACCACTCTCAACAAAGGACAAAAATGATCATAACCATAACCGATCTGTTAAAGTATCTGAAAGGTGGCACTGTAGAAGGTAAGGCTACAGTTTAGCAAAGCAGTTTTAGAACTTGTTTTGCCCATAGATCTGTTTTCCTACCCTGTTTAAGAGTAGTATCCTCTCTATCACTTTTAAGAGCTAGACCGGAACCAGAATTTGCTCTGTATTAAAGTAGATCTGTCTCCTGGTTCCTCTAGCTTTACAAATCATTTAACTTTAATTTTCTTGTAAAATGTAAAATGGAGACAACATCTAAATCACAAAGTTACTGTCTGATTTAAATGAAATAAATGGTTTTTAATTTTCCTTAACACCTACTTAATAAGAAATAAAGGTGAATTTAAAATAACACCATAGATACAGAAACGCATCCATGCTTTCTGATTACTTTGGAAGAGCAGACAACAGGACAAAGACATAATGGGAAAAAAAGTCTTATGATGTAGGAAGAAGACAGGTTTAATTATGTATGTGTAATCAAATTAAATTTGTAATTGTTTTGCAGTACTGGGGTTTGTATATTATGGGCATATTTAAAATAATCATCCCCACCATTTTCCAGTTAAATAATCATCTTCATCAATGCTAATAGCATTATGTTTCAGGCTGGACACTTTATAGCATTTTATTATTTCATTTTCACAATTCATTAAGGTACTTAATTACCATTTTCAAAAAAATGGAATAAAATCCCAATAAGACTATAAATCCAATATAGAGAGACATTTTGTCTGTTTTATTCACAATCATCAAACAGATGGTCTGGTGATTAGATGTATGGGTGAATACTAAAGGAAAACTTGAAAAGGTTAGTTGCTGAGGTCACACAGTTACTAAATGGTACTTGAGTCTGACTGAATCAAAGCCCATGTTTCTAATTAGTACATCTGAATCTTAGAAAGACTTCATCTAATACATGGATTATTGGGAACAACTTTTTTCAGCCCTTAACTTTGCTCAGGCTGGCCTTGAATTCACAATCCTCCTGCCTCCGCCTCCCCAGTAGCTGGGATTATAGAGTGTACCACCATACTTCAAAATCCACTTCTTAATAGCTGCCTACTCCTAACTGGAGTGGCTAATCACATACAAAGAAGTGTATCTGTAATATAAAGGCATTAACTCCATGGACTTAGTGATGAGCTATTAAAACCACAAAATTTTCTGGAAAGACTAAAGAACTGGAAGAAAACTTTATAATGAACCATGAAGTACCCAATTTTATAAATTAGTGATCAAGATTCCTGAACTACTTTCTAAATTCTTTTTCATGTACATCTACTTACGTGACTAATCTAATGAGGTAAACACATATAAGATTGTTATTGTATGGATAGATCGTAATGTGTTAAAGCATGAAAAACTGCTGAAATAAGAAGTATTAGCTAGTGTGTGTTAGGACTCAGAAGCCAGCCGGAGTGTGACAAGCTGATATGCTCATAAGCCAAACCTAAGGTGGCAGCTGATATGCTAATAAACCAGACCTAAGGTGGCAGCTGATATGCTAATAAGCTAGACCTAAGGTGGCAGCTGATATGCTAATAAGCTAGACCTAAGGTGACAGTGTAGACAACAGAAGTGGTAAGGTCACCACAGGGTATATAAACTCAGGCCAGAACCGAAAGCCTTGCTTGCCTCTTTGCCATCAGAGACCACACTGTCAGGAGTCCACCAGGGACCCTGACATAGAGGCAGCCGCCGCTTGTGAGCGTGCCCCTTTTCCCGATGACCACTGGGTGTCACCGGTGAACCGTGAACTGGACCTGCACTGAAGGCGGCTATGAGGATCCCTGGGCACAGCTATACCCCCCTCATCGGCTGAGAAGACCTCACACGGTGAGCGAGACTTGGGGGAAGGTCTGAGTAACTCCTGGCTGGCTACAGTAGCAGAGACAGGCATTAGGATCCTTAGGAAAGTGCCATGTGAATTTGTTTGAATAAAAACCCTGTTCTCTGAAATAAGAGTCTCCTGAGTACTGTCTCTCTGTACTCAATTGAACCAATAGGCACTCGCGACATCTAAGTAATGATTTTATAAAATTTCAAACATGTAAGCCAAGTTATACGCTCTTAGCATAGTTAGACTATGCATAGATAGAACTAAAGTCTTTTTAATAATAGTTCAATTACAACACAAAACAATGGAAAGTAAGCAAATTTTTCTAACATATCACCACAACAAAAGACATAAACAGAAAAAACTATGTGAGAGATGAAACAGATGCTGTTACTGACCGATTTACTGAAACACTTACCTAAGCAGCTTATGACCATTTGTTGTAGCAACTTCTGCAAGACTTGTTAGAATCTTTAGGTACTGATTTTCACTTTGCTGAGACAAATGCTCCAAAACTTGCCGTAACTAATGTTTTTATAAATTTTAAAAAAAAATGTGATTACATAGTAACCCAATAAATTTTACCAAAAATTAAGTACCTATTAGTTTAGTAACTACCTTAAAGCAAGTTAGCTGAAATCAAGACATTTGCAGTTATTTTGTCTTACATAAATCTAAGAGTCAAAGTAGAAATAAGATAGGAAATCTTTGCTCAAGTTCAAACCCCCGTCCCACAAAAAAAAGTCTTTGTTCAAAATCACCTAGTAAAAAAATAATTAAAAATATATAGAAGAGAAATCACCAAGAATGTATATGGAAATGTAATTCAAACTTCTAAAATTTAAGAGAATATTAAACTCTGCAATTTTTCTAAGAGTAGAACTATTATCAGTACAGAGCTCAGGGCTGGTAATGGAGCTTAGTAGTGGAGCTCTTGTTTACACAGCAACACAAAAAAAAGAAAAACAGAGCTCAGTAAATTAATGAGTGCCAATCACAACATGATATTCATCCTCAGATTCTTTTTCTCTACCCATGAGGAATAGTTATTTTAAGGAGGGACTGAAGAACCTGACAGAACAGTCAGAGGGCCAAATGCTAGCATAAAGTTCACAAATTATTATATATACAGTTGTCCCTTGATATTCTTGGAGAGTGATTCCAGACTCTTTATGGATACCAAAATCTGTAGATGCTCAAGTCTCTTGTATAAAATGGCTTAGTATTTGCATATAACTTGCACACATTCTCATACATACTTTAAATCATCACTTGATTACTAATCATACCTAATACAATGCAAATGCCATGCAAACTGTTGTTATACTGCATTGTTTAGGGAATAATGCAAGAAAAAAGTCTACATATTCAGAATAAATACTATTTTTAATATTTTTGATTCACATCTGGTTGAATGTATTGACAAAGAACCCACAAACATGAAGGGCTAACTGTAACTCGTATTTAACCTGCAATGCAGATAAGCAAATTCAAGTTATTAAGGTATTTGTAATAATAAATAGAATTGGATTGGGGACAAGGCTCAAGTGGTAGAGCTCTTGCCTAGCATGCATATGGCCCAGAGTTCAATCCCCAGTACTGCAAAAAAGTTAATTATTATTAATAAAAATAACAATAATAATAAAAATTATCAAGCACATTTATAAGATTGTTCCAACTATTAGGATAAATACATTACCATGTTTTCTCGAAGGTCTTCATTCTGTGTCATTTGAATAATAGTCTGGAAAAGCCTGGAGTGATACTGAATTAATACTTCGCAAGTTTCTCCATATCCACCCTAAAAACAAGACTTAAAATTATTCAAGTTTGAATATGACCTTTTAAAGGTCATATTCTTCACAAACAAAAATTTTTGCACTCACCCTCTCATTTAAGAAAAAAAATGATTTTACCATTCTCAGTTTCTATTATAAATGGGCTCAGAATAATACACTGAAAAACATACCTGTACACATAAATCCAGAGGGGTTACTCCATTTTTATCTGGCAAGTATTTGGCTCCTCGTAATAGAAGAATTTGTGCTGTATCTCTCTGACCATGACTGAATAGAGATAGAACCAAGTTAAAAATATAATCTTTTAATTTAAAGTCTTTCTCTATAAATTAGGGATGGTTAATATGAACTAATAGATTAACAATAAAAAATTAAGCCAAAAAATTCTGAACGATACCTTTGGCAATCAGGAAATTTTTTCTCAATGTTAGGTCATACTTTCAAAACACAGATAGAATAAATCTTAAACAGGGGTCACATTACTTACAATAAGTCATAATATTTTGGGATAAACAACTATTTCTTAGCCTTCTTATTAATTTTTTCCTTCTACTCACTTCCTAATCCCTTTCTCAATTTAGTCTAACCTTCTTTCCACTACACACATCTGTATCTCTAGACTTCTTAATCTAAAAGAACCTCAATATTGAAAATAAGAATACCTTTTTGTGATGCTTTGATACTTAATTTAAAAAAAAGAAAGCAAGAGAAAAGTAGCAAGAAAGAACTGAAGGAGAGAGCATAGTGCTTTAACACTTTGTTTTAAAAATTATAAAGGAAGAAGAAAAGTAGCAAAGTAAGTATTGAAGAGAGGAGCATAAATGGGAGTTACTAGCAAAAAAATACTATCTAGCTTTCAACTTTCATTTTACCAACCTACTCAGTTTGCTTTATGCTGACAGCTATTCAATCTAGCCTATAATAAACAACTCTCCTATCCACATGCTTCATCCTTTAATTGTTCTCTTTCTTATATTAGTAAAGCTAATCACTACCACTCTTCAAGCTAGAACCAAGCTACTTTATGGGTAGCAACCCATAAAGTTCTTACTCTTGTTATTCAGTGAGCTCATTTGATTCCAGATAAAAGTAACAAAAAATAAATCTACAATCCAGGGACATTAAAATTTAAGGCTAATTTTTAGAAGCTCTCAAGTCATACAGTTTGAAAGGCCATCTAATCCAAGCACTACTTTGTAGATAAAAAAAGCAACTAAACCAAGCACAGGTGAAACTGACCCAGATGTCTGGGATCCTCAGTTAATATTCCTCCCATATAGACACGTCATTTCACAAGGAGACATTTCTTGGAGATTAAAAAAAAAAAACTACACAAAACTCATTCTATTTCAAGTAAAATGGTACTGCATGAAGAATAATTAATAACCAATTAAAATTAAACAATTTATGGTACCTATTATGAATCCCGTGCCACAACAACTTATAACAAGTATATCACTGTCTTAATACTTTAATACTGATTACTCTCCTTAAAACAAACCCATAGGCCATAATTAACTCAAAACAGTATCTAATTTACTCCAGAAAAAGAAAAAAAAAGAAAGAAACCATATAAATCAGCAATCTCTCTAAAAAGAACAGTAGTTAATTAGAACACAGCAAGAAATCTTCATCAAGCATCATTTGATATTAAGCTGGCAGTATAAGATATTACCAACTACAGGTAATAATAATTATAATTTATACTATCCTACTCTTTTTATCATGCCTAAAAGTAAAAGCCAATTGAAAATTAACCAACTTGAACTTAATATATTTAGGAAGACAGAGACACCTTTTCTAAAAGAAAAGATCTGAGCATTTATAAAATTATCCAGTTCGCCGGGCACCAGTGGCTCACTCCTATAATCCTAGCTACTCAGAGGGCAGAGATCAGGAGTATCAAAGTTCAAAACCAGCCCAGGGAAATAGTTCAAAAAACCCTATCTTGAAAAAACCCATCACAAAAAAAAAAGGGCTGGTGGAGTGGCTCAACATGTAGGCCCTGAGTTCAAACCCCAGTACTGCCAAAAAAAAAAAAAAATCCAGTTCAATTTTAGTTATATCTCTTTATCCCTTTTATTGTATTTAATATCCATGCGTCCAATCTTTTTAATTAGATTGTAAACTTGACAGTAGACCTGGTCTATAGCACCCAAGCATGGTAGCTGGATTATAGCATCAATAAATCATATTATAGGTTTTGACTTTAACGACCATTCACTTGAGCATTAAAGACTGGCTATAGAAAATAATAATAAGAGACCTAAAACACAATTTACAACACTAAGTGACAAGCATTATCCTCAGTCCTTTATTTTCAGTGACTTAATTCTGACAGTTATAAAATAGGTATTGTTAAATTAAGTAAGCAGGAGGCCATTAGCCTGAGGGTGCGTCTGTACTTTGAGCTGCTCTATAACTAACTGCAACCTAACTTAGTAAGTAAACAAACTGAAATCTAACTTAGGACTCTTTTGTAATAAAAAATCAGACGTGATGTTGATTTTCATCCATAGTCCTTGATATTTCTTAAATAACTAGAACATTAAGGCTAAAGTACTTGGTCTTTTGTCCTTTGTTTCTAAGTGTTCCAGAGGATCAGAGCAATAAAGGTGAAAGTTTTTGTTAGAATGTTGAGGCACTTTAAGGCCTCAGAAGCAGGCCTCTGAAACCATAACCTAAGTTCTCCTACCCTCTTTCTCCTGACCCTTTTCCCCACAAGGCACCATGGAAAAAACTATTATTTCTCTTCCCCAGGCAAGTTATAGAAACCAAAAATATACTACTCTGATACTCTCCTGGTTTTCTAACTTGGAGCTGGCCATTAAAAAATTCTATAATTTACCTTGTCTGAGGGATCATAAGACTCCCTTTTCAGAAGGGGCCCTACCCCTTCCCCACTGGGAAAGAAAGCTGCATAGAGAAGCCAAGAAGAACCTGAGCAGACAGGCCTTGCTGGGGTTTCCCTCTGAGTTTGTTAGCATTAGGTCACACCCTTTTGGCTCAATCACATTTCCACACAGCTGACACAACTGTCCAGGCTTCATAAAAACCCAAAGGCCAGGGTATGGAAAGCTTCGGGACAGCTGAGCACAGGGAGACTTGCAGGAAGGAGAGTAAGAACTCATTCATGTGCCAAGACGAGGGTGCACCCCCAACTCTACAAGAACTAATGCTCCTGCACTCAGGACCCTTCCTTCAAAATAAACTCATAAATGTAAGTACAGTATTCCTCTGAATTCTGTGAGCCTCTCTAGCAAACTAAACAAACCTAAAGAGGGAGTTGTAGGAAGCCCAGCTGGTAGCCAGTTGGGCAGAATTCCAGAGGCTCATACTTACAACAACCATCAGAAGTGTATGTGTAGCAGGGGATGTAATTTGTTGGGAATGAGCCCCCTCAGTTAAGCAGTGACATGAAGAAAAAGGAGTAATGGCCAGAATTCTGCTCAAAGCCAGCTGGGGCAGAGTTAGCAAAACTCTATGTCAAAAGATAAACTGAAAACAAAAGGACTAGGAGCATAGCTTAAGTGGTAAAGCACTTGCCTAGCAAACACAAAGCCCTCTGTACAATCCCCAGTATCACACCAAAAGCCTAACAAAGTGCATTTCAGAAACACAAACATCAGGCAGAGAAAGTAGGTTACATGTAGGGAACTCAAAGAGTATCAACCAATGTGGCTGAAGCACAGTGAGCTAAGCTGGGGTCAGACCATGCAAGTCTCAGAGGCCAAGTCAAAATCTGGATTGTCTTTTTGAAATGCAAGGTGGCAGGATACAAAATCAACTCACAAAAATCATTAGCTTTTCTATACAACAATAACAAACAAACTGAGAAGGAATATATGGAAAAAATTCTATTTACAATAGCCTCAAAAAAAAAAAAATCAAATACCTAGGAGTAAGCTTAACAAAGGATGTGAATGACCTCTACAAGGAGAACTACAAACCCCTGAAGAAAGAGATTGAGGAAGACTACAGAAGGTGGAGAGATCTCCTGCGCTCATGGATTAGTAGAGTCAACATAGTAAAAATGGCTATATTACCAAAAGCAATCTACATGTTTAATGCAATTTCCATCAAAATCCGAATGACATTCATCACAGAGACTGAAAAATATACCCTAAAATTCATTTGGAAACACAAGGCAATACTCAGCAAAAAGAGCAATGCTGGAGGTATCACAATACCTGACTTCAAACTATATTACAAAGCAATAGCAGTAAAAACAGCATGGTATTGGCACAAAAACAGGCATGAAGACCAGAACAGAATCGAGGACCCGGATATGAATCCACACAACTATGCCCACCTTATTTTTGACAAAGGCACTAAAAATATACCATGGAGAAAAGACAGCCTCTTCAACAAATGTTGTTGGGAAAAGTAGTTATCCGTCTGCAAAAAACTGAAACTAGATCCATGTTTATCACCCTGTAATAGTATCAACTCAAAATGGATCAAGGACCTTAATATCAGACCCAAAACTATGAAGTTGGTACAGAAAAGAGCAGGAAACACTCTAGAAGTAATAGGTGTAGGCAAGGACTTCCTCATTAGAACCCCAGTAGCTCAGCAACTAAGAGAAAGGATGGACAAATGGGACTTCTTAAGATTAAAATCTTCTGCACAATAAAAGAAATGGTCTCTAAACTGAAAAGACCACCTACAGAGTGGGAGAAAATATTTGCCAGCTATACATCAGACAAAGGACTGATAACCAGAATATACAGGGAACTCACAAAACTAAACTCTTCCAAAATCAATGAACCAATAAAGAAATGGGCAACTGAACTGAACAGAGCTTTCTCAAAAGAAGAAATTCAAATGGCCAAAAAACACATGAAAAAATGCTCACCATCTCTAGCAATAAAGGAAATGCAAATTAAAACCACACTAAGATTCCACCTCACCCCTGTTAGAATAGCCATCATTCTAACCACCACCACCAACAGGTGTTGGCGAGGATGTGGGGAAAAAGGAACCCTCATACACTGCTGGTGGGAATGCAAACTAGTGCAACCACTCTGGAAAAAAATTTGGAGGCTTCTTGAAAATCTAAACATAGACCTGCCATATGATCCAGCAATCCCACTCCTGGGGATACACCCAAAGAAATGCAACACAGGTTACTCCAGGGTCACCTGCACACCCATGCTTTTTGCAGCGTTATTCATAATAGCCAAGTTCTGGAAACAGCCAAGATATCCCACTACTGACAAATGGATTTAAAAAAATGTGGTATTTACACACACAATGGAATTTTACTCAGCCATGAAGAAGAATGAAATCTTATCATTCACAAGTAAATGGATGGAACTGGAGAACACCATTCTAAGCAAGGTTAGCCAGGCTCAGAAAACCAAAAATCATATGTTCTCCCTCATACGTGGACTTCAGATCTTGAGCAAATACAGCAATGTGGTCGAACTTGGGTCACATGATAAGGGGAGAGCACCCACAGGAGGTATGGGGATAGAAACCCAAAACATGAGAATATTTGATGTCCCCACTGCAGAGGAACTAATACAGAAGCCTTAAAGTGACAGAGGTCAATATGAGAAGGGGATCAGGAACTAGTGAAAAGGTCAGTTAGAGATGACTCAACTTGGTGATGTAAACACATTTGTACATGGAAGCAATGCTAGGAATCTCTCTGTATAGCTATCCTTATCTCGACTAGCAAAAACGCTTTGTCTTTCTTATTATTGCTTATACTTTCTCTTCAACAAAATTAGAGATAAGGGCAGAACAGATTCTGCCTGGTGAGGGGGATGGGGAAGAGAGACAGCCCAAACAATGTATGCACATACGAATAAACGAATAAAAAAAAAAAGAAATGGAACAAAGAGGCACTGAAAAGTTATAAATACAGGTTTAAACACAAAGTGACAAGAGCTTCTTTTTTTTTTTTTTTTAAGATCACTTTGGTGAGGAAGGAATATACAGAAGGAAACAATAGAGTAATCAAGGAAACCAGTTAGACTACTGCAGTACACTAGGCAACACATAACAACTTTAAAGTGGTTTCAATGAGCTAAAGAGCACAGAGATTAAGGACATATTCTGGATCTAAAATTCACAGAATTTATTAATCAATTCCCAGTTGAGATCAGCAAAAGAGAGAAATAAAAAATAGTGATCTGGTTTCTGATTTAAATAACTGGGAGGATAAGGGTTCCCCTGATTCAGAAGAGAAAACTGGAAGAAAGATTTAGAGGAAGATCACAAGTTGTATTCTAGACATGTTAACATCTGAGACACTTAAGTGGTTATGCAAATAAGACAGGTGGACACTCAAATGTGGATCTTCAAAGGATGATATGATCTACAGATAAACCTTCAAGACACAATGTGATTTCAAGAAATCAAACAATGATATTATTCATAAATTCAGGTCACTATGGAAGCAACTGCTATTGTAAAGAATCAATCAAATCCTAAGTATAATGTTAGAAAATGCCTGGATTCGGACAGATCTAGAAGTCTAAAGATTCAAAAGCCCTTGTATGTAAGTGCCTTTGTATATAAGAGCCTAAATGAATTTTGCAATTCATATAATTTAAATCAAAGAGAATAAGCACTACGGTGTTTTGTGAACTGCTCCTAATAAAAGATTGTGAAATACATGATCAAAAATCAGTCTGATCAAGCATCAAAGACCCTAATGAGAACATAAACAAGAAAACACAGGTCTTTCAATGCAAAACAAACTTCCAGAAAAATGATATAAAGCAAGAAAAAAGACAAGAGGAGCTTTCTGGAGATCTATCTAAGAGCATAAATGAATGTTACAACTGACATACAGTCAGAACTCCTTATCCATGGATTTAACTAGCCACAGACTGAAAATACAGTCAGGCCTTACAATGGTTGTGCCTGTACTGAACATGTACATACTTTTTCTCTTGTCATTACTCCCTAAACAATATAACACCATTTACACAACTTTTGCATTATACTATATAAGTAATCTGAAGATTATTTAAACTACACAGGAGGATGTTTAAAAGTTATATGTAAATACTATGACATCTTATATGAGAAAACTGAGTATCAGAAGGTTTTAGTATCCATGGGGAGATCCTAGAACCAAAACCCAGGAATATCAAAGGAAAATTATAATTTAAGTAAAAAAGAATTATTACAGTGTTTTGTACATGATTCCTAACTGAAAATTACATTTATATAACATACTTTATACATGTATGTGTATATATGTGTGAGTGCATATATATAATTATTATAGTGCTCCTTAGGGACAATGTTTGTTTGTTGTTTTGAGTCCCCTGCCCCAGGTACTAGGAATGGAAGCCAGGCTAGGTAAGCACTCTATAACCCAGCTTCACTCTTATCCCCTATTTAAAACTGTATCAGTAATGCTTATAACAATGCAGGGCACACAGCGAGTGCTAGCTAATGTTTGCTGATTACATGAATGAATAAGTAAACAAAATGTGCAATTTAAGAAAAAAAAAACCAATAGAGAAGTACAAAAATAATACATACCTTAGTATCAAATAAGAATGATTAAATAATTTTTTTAAGTTATAGGTACAGAGAAACCAAAGACATGGCTCTGGACTAAGACTTGCTTCAACTGCTTATCCCAAGCAAATAACCTGGTTACTTAATTAAGTAAACTAGGGAAATTACCATTAATTTGTTCTTACACTGAAACAGTACTAAACCAAAAGCTCTCACCTGTAACATAAAAACACTGGCAACTAAATATAAAATGCTTTCTCTAACATAGTCAGATAACAGAACTGTAATGCTATTCTTCATCGTAAAAGAAAGCATAGTATGTGTGAGAAAAGATAACTATAAAAAGTACATACAAATATTTGTCTGGAAATATAGTACATATGTAACAATCTTTAATGTATACATCTGCAAATATAAAATATCATACCTGCATGCAAAGTACAATGGAGTAGCTCCTGATACATTTGGCCTGTTAATATCAGCACCACTGTCTAGCAAACACTGCACTGTCTGGGGGAGAAAAAAGCAATTAAAAGTAAAGCCAAAAAAAGTTAAACAAAACACATAATTTCACCAGAATTCTAATCCATATAAGGGAACCTGAAGTTTTACAGGCAGGCACATGACATTTATGATGGCAAAACAAATTCAACTTTGATAACCTCTCTGAATCTCTCAGGTACTGCATAATATATGTGAATTATCAATATGATATAAACTGTATTAGCTGGAAAGGCTCTCAAACAGCACTGTAACATAGTCATGTGTGGCTACTAAGATTTGAAGTATGGTTATACAACTGAGAAACTGAATTTTTTTCATTTTAATTATAACAAATTCAAATCTAAGTAACCACGTGTGACTAGTGAACTGCAGACTACTACTTTAGATATCAGAACTTTTGGGGCTGGGCTTGGTGGCTCACAGCTGTAATCCCAGCTACCTAGTGGGCTTGGTCACTCACACCTGTAAAGTTAGAGCAACTCCATCTCAACAACAAACAAAGCTGGGCATGGTGGTGGGCACCTGTAATCTCAGTTATGCAAGAAGCATAAGTCTGAGGCTGCCCCCAAGCAAAAAGCAGGAGACCCTACCTAAAAATTAACCTAAAGCAAAGAGGTCTGGAGGTGTGGCTTAAGTGGTAGAGCACTTGCCTAGAAGTGGAAGGTCTTGATTCAAATCTCAGTACTGTCTCCTCTCCCCAAAAATGGATACTAAGAAGTAACTCAGAATCAAATAGCATAATTATTGAAATACAAAATGTTAAAAAGCTAACAAGTCCAGTTCAAACCAACAGATCACTAAGCAGTGGTTCTAGTATGGAAATATGACACAGAAAACCCTTTGTACAATTAATATATGCTAATAAAAAAAAGAAAAAAAAATCACTTAGGTAGTGAAAATATAAATGTAACTCGATGTTTATTATTATATGACATATACTGAAATGTTCTATCACTTACCAGCCGTGAGGAAAAAGAAAGAATTATCAAGGACAAAGTATCAACAGCGCTGAGATTGAGAAGGCTTGGAGAACAGTGAATCCAAGCAGTCAACAAACCCCACACTCACACAATGCTTCCAGTCAATGTCTTTGTACTTCACTATTATATATGAATAGACACACAATATTTAAGACAAAACTGAGGTGGATTAAGAAAGAGTAATAGCAGGGGTGAACTGATCAAAGTATATTATGTGCATGTACAGAACTATCACAATAAAACCTCTTTGTACAATTAATACATGCTAAATATATATGCTAAAATACACAACTTAAGCAAACCTTAAACCTGAAAAACAAAACTTAAGTTTAAAAAAAAACTCAGAAAAATAAAGGTAGTAAGAGGAACCAAAGAAAATAACAAAAACTAAAAAATATAGCCAGGTATGGTGATACATACCTATAATCCCAGCAATTGGGAGGTTAAAGCAGGAGAATATCAAGTTTGAAGCCAGCTTGGGCAACATTACTCCTTAAAAAAAGAAACAGAGAGAAACAGAGAGAGAGAGAGAGAGAGAAAAGGAAGGAAGGGAGGGAGGGAGCGAGGGAGGGAGGCAAAAGAAAAGTAATAACCTCAAAGAGGGGAAATTTTTTTTAAAGGCACTATATCCATTAAACAAATATAGAAATCTGAGGAAAATATAGGCAGATAAATTTGGGCACAACTGGAACATGCCTGTCATCCCAGCTACACAGGAAGCATTTATAGGACTGCAGTCCAGGCGGGCCTGGCCATAAATGGTGAGACCCTATTCAAAAAATACTGAAGCAAAAAGGGCTGACAGCCTAGTTCAAGTGGTAGAGCGCCTGCCTATAGCAAGGGCACGTGCTAAGTTCAAACCCCCAAAAGTTTAGAAAGGCAATTTTGGGGAACTCTAGGAAAAAGAAAACAGAATGAAAAGATAAACAAGAAAGATTAGAAAGTAAGTGGATCAAACCAGGGAGAAACTGAGAATAAAAAGGATCAGGGGACCATATAGAAATCAACAAGTAACACCAAAAAAAATGCCCAGAACTGAAGAACATGGATTTCCAGATTTAAACTGCTTACCAAATCCCCAGTTTAACAATTAAAAGAACTTCAACAAAGCAATGTCAATATAAATTTTTCTAATACCATGCATATAAAATTACAGATAAAGGGAAATCAGGTTGACATTAAACTTCCCAACAAAAACACTGGAATCTAAAAAAAATTCCTTCAAAATTGTAAGGTAAATGATTTCTAATGCAGAATTCTCTAGTTGGCCCCACTATTGTTCAAATATATGATCAAAAATTGGGGGCTGACAGAGTGGCTCATGTGGTAGAGTGCCTGCTTAGCAAGCAAGAAGCCCTGAGTTCATAACACCTCAGTTTAAAAATTTTTTTTAAATGCTTAACTGAAAAAAGATTTTTTAAAATACCTCAAAATACACTTTTTTTTTTTCAAAAAAAGCAGAGCTTTGAGTAATATCCTCCCCCAAAACAATGGAATAAACCAAAATAGAAGATGTGGAAACTAGAATATTACAGATCAAACACAAGAGGCAATATGAAATTTCTAAGTTTAGAAGGGGAAAAGGCAGAACTGACAGATTATCTACCAAATTTGTCTTTGTAAAAAAATAGTACTGCAAGACACTTATAGAAACACATAAAAACAACTGCTGATTCATACAAAGAAAACTAAGCAAAGTCAATTATTAACTATTAGAAAGAAAATGTTATAGTTCTCTACTTGACTCATCAATATACAATATTTACTTAACTATACAGACAACTAATACTGTCTAAACAAAATTTATAAATCCTCCCCCACCATAACAAAACTGATTAATACCTAAGTGTCATAAATTGAAAAGGAGCCAAGGAAGCTTATTATTTGGAAATATATACTGAAGGAAAAGCTTAAAAAAAAAAGCTGAAAATTATTGCCTCCAGTGATCTTGATTTGCCAAAGAAGGATGAGTTAAAGGATTATTATTTTTTATTTAATTTTTTGATAAAAAGTTTTAAGATACAGCCCAAGAGATAAAAGCAAATACATTGAAAATATATATTCATATGCATTTAAAATCTAGCAATACAGAACCTGAAATGAAACAATTAACAAAATATACTAAGCATTCATATATACAGTTCAAAACTACAGAATGATATAACATAACATGACATGAACCCAGACACTATGCCAATAAGCATTTTAATAAATGACTCATTTAATTCATCCTGTGAAAAAGGTTATATTCTCTCTACTTCTATAAACAAGAAACTGAGTTTCAAAGATCAGGTAATTTGCGCCTCAACACAAATGCAGTGAAACAGGGATTGAAAACCTAAGACTATGTTCAAATCATGATCCCATTTAGCAAAAAGAAAGAATGCTAAATTTTCTGAGTTCAGATTACTAAATCGTATTAATGGGTAACTGACATATTTTCACAAACTACATTAATCATAAATGATCTACTAATTCCCTGCCAAGTAACTATTAGGCAGCCAAGCTCAAACACCTGTATAGCTTCTCGTGATTAGTTTTAAAATAATGCCATTTTTAAACTACATATTTTTTACAGTGCTTAGTGTTTTTATTATTCTGAAAAGCTCACAGTGTAAAGCAATTTAGCCATTAAACTAACATACTCTTCTATTCTCAATAAAGTAGTGAGACAAGCTTCAAGAAATCACAGCAAAAAAAGCATGATTTACAATTTGAAATGTCACATGTCTGTCGTATCCTTGCACATCCTACAAAGACATTAAAAATTCTTTCTTAAGACAAAAAAAAAAAAAAAACTTGGTTATGGTAGTGGAAACTGGTGATTCTACCAGTTTCTTTTGGGTTCAAAATTTTTCTGCTTTCTGTTTTAACAAAATTATCCCAACTGAGATCCTCAAAATATACAACTATGAAAAGAAACATGTTTTATTTTAAAGTTTTCAAGCTTTACTTGTAGATACAATGATGCCTTAAGAAAAACAGAGAGATAATCCATTTATCTTAGTGCAAGGATAAAAATGTACAAAGAATCTAAATGTGAAGAACAAAAAAACTGCCATGTAGCACTAAAGAGACTGAAAAGTCATCAACCATTGTGATTTTTTAAAAAAATGTTTTCATTTGCTGGTTTCTTTTTATAAAAGCTCTGAAACAGGAGGAGAATGGATAATAAAGAATTCAATCAATTATTGATTCAATGGCATAACAGGAGAAGTAGCAAGAAAGTCACAGATAACCTTAATTCACAGGTGTTTTGTTTTGTTTTGTTTTTAATCTCTAATCATTTCTCTGAAGGAGGCAAGTAAGAAGGTATCTAAAAATGTACTCACCTCAACAACTAGCACACTGCACAGTGGTGAATGGTAAGGGAAACAAATCAGGTCAACAAGATGCCAGACCAGGATCGTGGAAACTGTAACACTTAACATAACTCACCCATCACTGTATTATTCTGGCAGTTCCTACTGAGCGCTATTAGGGTGGTGAGCTTTCCTGGATCCTTTATGACACCTTAATTAAACACAGGCTAGGTACAAAATGGATTCTCAGACCCAGATAATCCAAAGTGACAATATGTCAATGATAAAGCAAAAGGTTTAATAGCAACAACAAATTTGTTTCTTGCTGACAATATACACCCATGATTTGGGAGTGAAATGTCATGGAGGATAAATACCTACATAAAATTGCAATGAAATATTTACTGCCTGGCCTTAACAATTTGAGTTTAACAACAGTTTTAAGACTTTGTATGCAATTTTCAAAAGTATCACAAAGTAATAAATGTTTCCAACTACATAAAAACTGCTAATGTGTATACTAAGGATAAAGCTCCAGTGGAGGAAAAATATTCTCTGAACATTTACTGAATTAAAATAATACCAAAAGCTCCTGAAGAAACAATACTACTAGAGGATTTTAAATTACACCAAAATATGAAACACAACATAACTGAAGAAACTGGATTTTGGATTAAATTTTTTAAATTCCTAAAGATTTCCAAAAGCAAAGTTTTGCAGCAGT